AGTCGGACGCTCAACCGACTGAGCCACCCAGGCGCCCCAAACTAGCTCTTCTTATAATAAAAGGCGGCACAGCTCTTGCTTTACTTCTCCACATACCAGCGTGGTGGGACATGTGGGAACAGAGTAAGAAGGTCCAGGGATGATGGGCACGCGAGATGCGGGGCTACGCTACCCATGGTGCCGAGCCCATGTGGGCACCAGCAAAGCCTGACACCTAAAAAACCTTCTCAGCGCCTAAAATCTCAGAAATAAAACAAAACCGGGCACCGGGGGGCTCAGCTGGTTACGTGTCCAACTCTTGGTTCCGGCGCGGGTCGTCTCACGGTTTGTGAGATTGAGCCCCACGTGGGGCTCTGTGCTGACAGCGTGGAGCCTGCTGGGGCTTCTCTCTCTCCCTCGCTCTCTGCCCTTCTCCCACTCCCTCGCACGCTCTCTCTCTTAATAAATAAATAAACTTTAAACACCCCTGGTTTTCCTAGCACTCACTCTGAGTTGCATATGGGAATGGCAGACACACCCTGTAGGGTTCAGGGTCTCTACGTTTGGGCCTCAATCTGGGCCTGGTTGTACCATTATTTATTCTTCCACCTCAGGCACTCGGAGCCCCTGCTCTAGGCAGCACACATGCTAAGAACTAGACAGAATTAGACCCAGCGCCATTCTCAAGCAGCTCACAGTCCAGTGGGATCTTCCAGTCTCAAAATGTTCTTTTAATAGAGTAAAAGATCTTTATTTCCATCAAAATCTACATACAATCAAGTGAGCCATGACATAAATTCTTTCTACCTCAGTGATACCAAGAATTCCCCTAAGCTTCAACAGTAAGAAGAGAAACATTCTCTCCCTATCTGCCCTCCTCCATAGCACCAACCTGCCCTACATTGCAAATGACTCTCTTGGAAAATCTTTTCTAAAGCAGGGGATTTGCGGCAAAGCGTGTGGGATTCTCACTGTTTCAAGGGCTGCATCTGACAACCTCACAGGCCTCGATCCCAAGCCCTCATCACGGTTGCAGTTTTCTCTCCAGTCATATGATTATTTCATTTATGTTTCTTCCCCACTAAGCTGAAAGCCCTAGGAGGAACAGGAACTGTGTTTCTTTCTGCTCACCCATGCAACCCATGGCCCACCAGACACTGAGGGGGCTCAATAAATATTTATTAAAGAAATGAGGATTTAGGGGAATCTCAGAAACTTTTAAATCTTAAAAGGCCAACATTTCCCGAATTATGGTTAAAAACGAGGAGCTATAGAAAATCGTTCTGAAACATTCATTTTGCGGCGCCTGGGTGGCTCAGTCAGCTGAGTGTCTGACTTTGGCTCAGGTCGTGATCCCTCAGTCAGTGGGTTCAGCCCCAAGTCAGGCTCTGTGCAGACAGCAAGAAGCCTGCTTCAGATCTTCTGTCCCCCTCTCTGTCCCTCCCCCGGCTCACGCTCTCTCTCTCAAAAAAATACACATTTAGGGGCGCCTGGGTGGCGCAGTCGGTGTTAAGCTGCCAGTCTGACCTCTCTCAGCCAGGTCACGATTCAAGCGGGTCCCAGATCGAGCTCCGCGGTCGGGCTCGGGCTGATGGCTCAGAGCCTGAGCCTGCTTCCTCCCCCCCGACTTGTGTCTCCCCTCTCTGCCCCTCCCGTTCATGCCTGTTCTCTCTGTCCCAAAAATAAATAAACGTTGAAAAAAAATAATTAAAAAAATACACATTTAAAAACATTCACTTTTATTTCTTTAAAAAATTACTCAATTACGATTTAGTTGGGGTTTGGTCTATAGTTTGCTCAAAGTTTCTGAGTTTATGATCACTGATGGTAGGCAGTGTTTGATTGTTTTTGAAGAGCTAGTAACTTCCTGCTTACCATTGAGGGAGGCAAGAAGCATAATGAGACAACTAGGGCAGGTTTAGACTGTTTTTACCACACAGCAAAAAAAAAAAAAAAAAAAAAAAAAAAAAAAATGCTGTTTAATAAACTTGTCTAAGGCAAAAATGTTTTTAAGTAGTATCAGTGTATAATACAAAATAAGTATATTAGAATAAATTTTACAATGAAGTTGGGGGAGGGACGCGGCCCGTTCTGAGAATACTGGCACTCAAAGCAGAACAGATCCAAAGGTTCCACACGAAATACTGCTCCACTCGTATCATGTGTCGTTGAGAAACAAACACAACAACTCGGCCAACCTGAACGCCGGACAGTGCTACTGGAGGTGAGCGCTCCACCCAGCCCTTCTGCAGAGGATCCCCAGGTAAGAAGCCAGCCCGCTGTGCTTACACCCAGTGTTGCTGGGTGCAAAATTCAGGGTCTCTAGGCAGCCCCGCGGTGTCCCCTCTCGGCGGTCAGCTTGTAGGCGGGTGCTGACTCAGCGTTGGGAAGAGAACTGACGGAGAAAATTAGCCTCCCGCGCCCGATACGCCAGTCCAGCCTGGCATCCGAGCGCCTGGCCGCCGCGTGGGAGCGCAGCCTGCGAGTCGTTCCGAGTCGCCGCGGTCGCAGTGCAAAGCCGGTCTGGCGCGCTGCCTGGTTCACCTCGACCCGGGCGGCCAGTGTTGGTCACCGCCTGGAGCCTGGCTCGCGGGAGTTGCGCGAAGTGCTGGCCCGGCGAGTCTCAATCTGTGCAGGTGCGTGCAGGGGGGCTGCGCCCACAGTCCCAGAGCTGCGCGAGGCCTGCCTGCCCCTGGGGCTGCGGGGACTGTCTGGGTAGTTGCTAGTCCAGTGGCAGGCCTCGCGCGGCTCCGCCTGAGCTGCGTGGTCTCAGGCCCCAAGGTTGCGTCGGCCAAAGGTCTGTCGCGGCCGGGGTCTCGGGACACGGCGCACCACCACGTTCTTTGCGGTTGGCCGCCACGAGCAGCCGCAGCGGCCAAGCAGGCGGGCCGTGCATGGCGCCGCGTCCGCCCCGTGCGCCTCAGCCTGCCCGGCCCGGCGCGCACAGAGGCCGAGGACCCTCCTCCCGGCCCGGTGGAACGTATGGTGCCGCCCGCAGCCCCGCCCGTTGTCACCCGCCGTCACCCTTCTCCTCGGGCCCCCGGCCCCCGCGCACGCCCCGGGTCGCGCCCGCCCCATGCCCTTCCTAGCCGCGGCCCTCCGCCCGCACGGGTGCCCGCCCCCGAGGGCGGCGACCCGGGCGCCGCACCACACCCCCTCCAAGGAGCCCCCTCCCGCCTCGGGGGTCCTTCCCCGCAGCGCCCCCCACCGGGCTGCCGAGCGCGGGGCGCGGAGCCGCCGGCGCCAAAGACGGGGCTGAAGAAAGCGTCGGGCGCTGCTGCGCCTGCGCACTATCGTGCGGGGAGCTTTTTCGCGCTTCTCAGTCCCTTTCCGTAAAAACCTGCGAGCCCTTTCTCACGCCGGACGACTCGGCGGAGCGCGCAGACCGGATCACACGATGACCGGTGAAGGGATGCGGCGGCCCGACAGCGAGCTGGTCTGGGCTCGGGGAGGGTCCGCGGCCCCGGCGACCCTGGCTGGGGCCGGTCCTGTCACCCTACGTCCCAGGGCCGAGCACGGACCGAGACGCAGAACGTTGCTGGAGAGGACACCGCTGCAGGTCAGCGCGGTTATGGAAGGCGTCGTGGTTGGAGGAGGTGGTTGGCGAGCCGTGAAATTGGATAACTTTGAGGAAAGGAAGAGATCATTTCCTAACCTGAGCCGAAGTGCAAAAACACATGGTCGAGACACCCCGGCTGCTGAGAGTGCAGAAGACCAATCTAATTGCAATGTAGTATTTTAATGCACGTGCAAGGAAAGCCAGAGGAGAGGATCTTAAAACCCACTGGGACGCAAGGAGACTTCAAGGTGCAGGCATCTGTACGCTGGGGGATTAGGGATGGGTCCAGCCTGATTCTCTAACATGTATGAGGCGTGGCTGAAGAAGGTGGATTGAGTTTTTGTTGACTGGTAATTTTACAAAGCCGATACGAGGGTAAGGCTAGTGAGAGACACGTGCTTCAATCGCAAAATGTATGGATTCGAGAAAAAAAAAACCCTAAAGCTCCATAATCAAGATGAATATTTTAATGCAATATTTTTTAAAATCAAAATTAATGCAAAAAAATCCACCACGAGCAATGTATCAAAATTTCAAATGCATTTCTGCATTTGCACAATCCTGCCTCTCTCCTCCCACGTTAATCCCACCCCTAAAAACCTTATTTACAAAATTAGGCAGTTAGCAGCTGGCCTACTTTGCCAATTATTCTTTCTATTTTTGGATGAAAGTGTTATCTTGATTACGGACACTTTTTAGGCCCCTTTAAGTTTCACCCCCAGGAGAGTGCCTCACTTACCTCACCCTACTTGGGGTGCCCTGGGTAGGTAAGGAGTGTAGGACTTTTGAGAGGAAGTACTGATCATAGAAAGGTGGTGTGGAATTAAATAGTGCTTCAAATGCCCTGATGAGCAGGAAGTGAGCAGGAAGCATGCCTTCCTCTAAATTCCAACCTCTTAGACCCAGGGGAGCATGGAATCCCCACCCAAGTTAACCATGACTTAGGTTAGCCTCTCATCGGTGTCTAAATTCTAGGATGCAGGGTATAGTATAAAACACCATAGAAAAGCAAGAAAAGCCTGTGCCTTAATCCTGAGACAACAAACAAAAGTCCAAATCCTGACCAATGACAGACAGAAAGGGCTCTTGGTAGAGGTGTGGTTGAACCAAGCAGTAAAATCTGGCCTTCCATGAATAGACTCTTAATAGGTTTAGTGGGCAACAGGTGTTGAATTCAAAAAGGATGTCTTTTGACGGAAACTTGAGAGCAGTGGAATTACTTCGAGAACAGTTCCACCTGTGGGTTCCTGTACCTCTCAAAGGGCGAACAGGGAGCTCAGGTGGACAGCAGGACCCCTGCCCTGCCCCGCCCCCATGGGCAGTACAAGAAGCAAACAAAAATCTTCCTGGTGTGAGGTCTCTGATCTGATAAGGATGGAGGTGGGGCTGTCATTTGACCTTTCTTTGTACATTTCTTTTTCTCTTAATTCAAGCTTGCAGGTTATCCAGTCAAGGACTGGAGTGGCGAGGCAATGGCTGAAAGATGAGCCTACATACAGTTCCCTCAAGCATGAACCAGGAAGGGGTGCAATGTACATGGGGCAGAAGTGTTTTGTAAATTCCTCTGAAGTCCAGATTGAAGTTTTTGGTAACTCATCTGCATTGTGTGCTTAGAGTGAAGGCTGAGGCTGTAACTATCTCAGCAATATGACTCAGGCAGGCTGAATGCAGTGTAAGCAGAAGGTTACGGCATCTTTCGCTTTTACGTTCTCTCTCACCCCCTCCCCAGAGACTCTAGAGGGAGGTTGTTATGGGTTGAATTGTGTTCCTCCAAAAAAGATATGTTGAAATCCTAACTCCTGGTATCTCAGAATGTGACCTTATTTGGAAACAGAGTGGTCGCAGATATAGTAAATTAAAGTAAGATGAAGCCATATTGGAGTAGGAGTAGGGTATCAATTTTTAAAAAATATTTATTTTTGAGAGAGAGAGAGCGCACGAGCAGGGGAGGGGCAGAGAGAGAGGGAGACACAGAATCCGAAGTAGGCTCCAGACTCTGAGCTGTCAGCCCAGAGCCGACATGGGGCTCGAACTCATCAACCCTGAGATCGTGACCTGAGCTGAAACCCAACAGTTGGACGCTTAGCCAACTCAGCCACCCAGGTGTTCCTATCTGATTTATAATAGGAGACATGAAAACTAAAATGACAAGCAGATACCATGATTCTCCTCAATCATTTGAATAAAGATCAAAAAGTTTTACTGCATTGCCTTGATGAGGGTGAGGGGTCCACATGTTGGTGAAAAATGTCAATTGCTCCACGAAAGCACTTGCTATATCTATTAACAATGTAAATACATATATCCTTTGATCGCACAATGTCACTTCCAGGATTTTTAAAAATAGACTATTTTTCAGAGCAGTTTTAGGTTCACGACAAAATTGAAAGGAAGATACAGAATTTCCCACCTGCCCCGTGCCTTGACACGAGCACAGCCTCCCCCCGCCCCCAACAACACCCTCACCAGAGTCCACTGATGGATGTCCATAGTTAACATTAGGATTCACTCTTGGTGTTGTACATTTGGATGAATGTATAAGGACACGTATCCACCATTACAACATCATACAGAATTGTTTCACTGCCTAAAAATCCTCTGCTTTGCCTATCCATCCCTCCTTCCCCCTCGCCCCAGGAAGCACTGATCTTTTTTACTGTCTTCATAGTTTTGCCTTTTTCCAGAATGTCCAATGTACAGTATGTAGCCTTTCGGATTGGCTCCTTTCAGTTAGTAATGGCCTTTGAGTTTCTTCCATGTCATTCCATGGCTTGATAGCTTATTTCTTTCCAGCCCTGAATACTAATCCCTCGTCTGTACTGAAGTTTATCCAGTTACCTACAGAAGGAAGTCTTGGTTCCTTCCAAGTTTTGGCAATTAGGAAGAAAGATGCTATAAACATCCACGTGCAGGTTTTTATACAAACAAAAGTTTTTACCTCTTCTTGGTAAACACAAAGGAGAGAGATCGCTGGATTGTACGTTCGGTGTTGTAAGAAACTGCCAAACTGTCTTCCAAAGTGGCTGCATTGTTTCACATCCCCACCAGCAATGAATGAGAGCTTCTGTTCCTCCACATCCTTGCCAGAATTTGGTGTTATCACTGTTTGGGATTTTAGCCATTCCAATGGGTGTGTCACTTCTAGGAATTTAAATTCTATATACACTCTCACATGTATGGAATGATAAACTTATACAAAGATTCATTGCAGTATTGTTTATAATAGCAAGAGACTGGAAAAGTAATTTAAAGAAGGGGGGGCGCCTGGGTGGCTCAATGGGTTAAGCTTCCGACTTCAACTCAGGTCATGATCTTATAGCTCATGGGTTTTATAGCTCATGGGTTCAAGCCCCACATCGGGCTCTGTGTTGACAGCTCAGAGCCTGGAGCCTGCTTCAGATTCTGTGTCTCCCTCTCTCTCTCTCCCTCTCCCCTATTTTCTCCCTCTCTCTCTCTTAAAAAAATAAACATTAAAAAAAATTTTTTTTAAACCCTAGAAACTATAGTCTAGCATTAGGCGTCAGTTAAATAAATTGGGGTACATCCAGGCAGTGGAAGGCCATGCAATCTTTAGGAAGGATGAGGCAACTCTACATGTGCCAATTTGGAACCATACCGTAAGACATACAATGAAAAAAACAAGGTGCAGAGCTGCATGTATAGTATGCTCTATTTGAGTAAAAAATAAAAATATATATACTCACACACACACTCATATATTAACAGAGTATCTTTGCAAGGATACACAAGGAACAGTGGTTTTCTCTTTGGAGAAGTGAATGGCCAGGGTATTAGGGTATGTGTCTTTTTGGATTTTCCAATGTCTATTAAAAAATATGCCACCTGGGTGGCTCAGTTGCATAAGCATCCAGCTTTGGCTCAGGTCATGATCTCACGGTCTGTGGGTTTGAGTCCTGAATCAGGCTCTGTGCTGACAGGTCAGAGCCTGGAGCCTGCTTTGCATTCTGTGTCTCCTCTCTCTCTGCCCCTCACCTGCTCATGCTCTCTCTCTCTCTCAAAAAAAAAAAAAAAAAAAAAAAAAAAAAATTCAAAGCTTTTTAAAAAATATGCTAAAAGTATTTATTAAAAAATTAAGAAAACAATAAGAGATAGCCTCCTATGTAGAAAAAAGAGGAAACATTTAAAATTTATTTTTCTTATCTTTACAAACTCTTGTGTTGAGGGCTATTTATTTTTATTTTTTATTTTTGCTTAGTTTTACAAATACTTGTGTCGAAGGCTTCTTTCAAATTTTTCAAGAATAAATGTTTCCCCTGGTATATAAACTATTCCGAAGCATAAGAAAAAGATAGACTTCTTAATCCATTTTATGAAAT